TTACGTAAGACCCAACGTTCAGAAATTCCTGGACACGGTCCATGAGGACAGCAGGAGCTGAGACTAGCTGGTCGGCGTCCAGCAGAAGAATCTGGTGTATGCGAAGTGAGAAGAAGAACAGAGGCTTATGGGCAGTGGGACACATAAAAAATAACGCATAATGCGCACATTAATTAAATCAAAGCGAAGAGTCTGTCAGAAAAGCCAAAGGCATCTGTGCGGATTTGGCTGCGGGGTAGGGAGGGAGCCTGACGTAGTCAATTTCACCCGAATCAACGTGGCGATCTAGGGATGACCGCGTTCCAGTTCTCACTTCCCCTATACATGCTTTTGCGTACAGTGGAGATGTTCCTGAAAAAACCAGAGTGGCATGCTCATCTCGATTTGACTACATGTCTGCCCCGTCTTCAGTAGTGTCTTGAAAGGTTATGGCCTACTATCCTAAAATATTCTGGATTAAGTCAGTGGATGGAAATGACTAGGAGTTGGGAGAAATAGAATTGGTGAGCTTACTATGGTCCACAATTCAGCCCAGCAGCAGTCTTTTTCACTGTGCTCGCCATAGAAAACAACACAAAAACTTGTGCCGACGGACGGAGCTCGACCGCCAACCCCCCGAATTCTCGCCGGTCAGCGCGTCTCACAACTAAGCGAATTACCAAGCACAGCCTTAACTTTGACTCGCAGGGTGGGTCTACTGTAGCCTGAGCCATGTATTTTGTTGAGTTGCGAGAGAAACCTCACAGACTAAAAAGGATGCAGATTCAGCTTGGTAGAGTTCGTAGCTCTACTAAGCATAAGATATTTTCCTAATGCGAATTATGGGAAGTAGAAAAACCCGCCACCGCGCGGAGTTGAGATGAACTCAGCTTGAAGTCAGTGGCGTTTGAACAAAATCTTAGTTTAAAAAGTACAGTAGATGTGCTAACTCATGAAATGTCAACCAAAATTTCGAAATGCCTTCTCGTTTCGAAAAGATAAATTAAGTAGTGTTGTAAAACTAATCATAATGCAGCATAAATCTATAATGATCCAGTTACCTCAGGGTGTCGGCTTTCGAAAGAACTTATCTTCGGCTGCATGCAAGATCTATACCCTGCAAAAAATGACTACTTATGTAGCATGCAATTTTCTCATTGATTTTCGATGCTCTTGAAAATTCAATTATATTTCATGGAAAACATGCATAAAAATATTCATTCTTTTACTTATCCGGTAGAAAATCACGTCTCCTTCCAATTTCATACTCAAAAGAAGAGTATAATTCGGTTTTAAAAAACGTTTCTAATTCCCGAATAATTTTGAACCCGACCTGCTGTTACACTTGCATTCAGGGTTTCAAAACTACAAGCTGTATATTTTCCGTGTACGGAAAACCATGCACTTCTCTATAGTGTTAAGAGGACATCATATGAGGTTCATAAAATTAAGCAGTGGATTTGAGCAATACTGCTAACTTTACAAGCCACATTCGTAAATGCAGATACATGACGTTTCATGAACGGCCATTTAACGGTATTAAAAAATCTCACAATTAGAAACTTTTTGGAAACCGAATTATACTCTTCTTTTGAGTATGGAATTGGAAGAAGACGTGATTTTCTACCGAATAAGTAAAAGAATGAATATTTTTATTCATGTTTTCCATGAAATATAATTGAATTTTCAAGGGCATCGATAATCAATGAGAAAATTGCATTCTACTTAAGTAGTCATTTTTTGCAGAGTATAGATCTTGCATGCAGCCGAAAATAAGTTCTTTCGAAAGCCGACACCCTGAGGTAACTGGATCATTATAGATTTATGCTGCATCATGATTAGTTTTACAACACTACTTAATTTATCTTTTCGAAACGAGAAGGCATTTCGAAATTTTGGTTGACATTTCATGAGTTAGCACATCTACTGTAGGATTAAAGGAAATTTCTAAAGGCGCTTTTTTATATAGAGTAAATGTGCTAACTCACGAAATGTTGATGGAAATTCGGAAATGTGTTTTCGACTCGAAAAGATTACTCATGTAGTGTTGCAATATGAATCAGCGTGCAGTATAATCCCATGATAATTCAGTTACTTCAGGATGCCGGCTTTCAAACGAACATCTTTCCGGCCGCCTGGAAAAACTACACTCTGTAAAAATGACTTCTTAAGTAGTATAAGATTTTCTCGTCGATTTTCGATGCCCCTATAAATTCAAATATATTTCCTAGAAAATATGCATTAAAATATTCCTTCTTTTACTTATTTGGCATAAAGTTATCTTCTTCAAATTTTATAGTTGAAGGAAAGGTATAATTCGGTTTTAAAAAAGTTTCCAAGTATGATTTTTTAAGAACATGAAATGCCCGTGCATAAAGCATCCTGTCTCTGCATTTACTAGTGTCGCTTTTAAAGTTCACAATATAGTTCAAGCCCACTTTTGAATTTTATGAACCCCATATGGTCTTCTCTTAATACCGTATAGAAATGTGTGATTTTTCGTACACGAAAAATATACAGCCTGCAGTTTGTAAGCACTGAATGCAAATGTACAGGCAGCTCGTGTTCAAAATTATTCGTTAATTAAAAAAAGGTTTTCTAAAACCGAATTATACCCTTCCTTCAAGTATAAAATTTGAAGAAGACAATTTTATACCAAATAAGTAAAAGAAGGAATATCTTAGTGCATGTTTTCTAGGAAATATATTTGAATTTATAGGGGCATCGAAAATCGACGAGAAAATCTTATACTATTTAAGAAGTCATTTTTACAGAGTGTAGTTTTTCCAGGCGGCCGGAAAGATGTCCGTTTGAAAGCCGACATCCTGAAGTAACTGAATTATCGTGAGATTATACTGCATGGTGATTAATGTTGCAACCGTACTTG